CAAAAAGTCAAAGTATACGACGGACCATTCCTGGGTTGCACTTCCCCACTACTACTATTAGATCACTACTTAATAAAGGAAGTGAAAAGACTCAAACACACTCTATAAAAGGGCATTTTTAAGTGTATCTTCAATTCAACTAGAAGTCCTTTTCATAGTGTAGGGTTTAACGTTTTAATCAATTACTGATTCAGTCATTATCAGCAGTACCTAACAAAACACCTATTTGACGAACATTACTTGACAGAAAACTCTAAAATGGAAAGATACAGGTTAATACGTTCAAATGAATGTGACTATGACGTGTGTAAGGATGCATGTTGACTTCATGTTCCAGTCTGATTTGCTCTCAAAGGCACACAGTGTAATGAGGCTGTAATATAAAACGTTGTATATTGTGATTGCTATGCGGATGTTTAATTTCTCAGACGTTCCTAAAATAAAGGGCTCCGTGTTGTCTGGTAACTAAAGGGAAACATCCACAACTTCAGTCACTGTGAAGACGATGACATCTTATTTATCACTTACTAGATTTTCAATTTCATTGCAAACAAAATGGAGGAATGGCAGACGTTAGTATCGTTGTTTTGTCTTCCTATCAAGCCCCCTGACCTTTTTGTTACCAAGCAAAGTACACGGAGAAGAAGTGCAGCTTATATTGAAGTTTAAGTGTGCATTCCCTCTTAGCAATAGTTAGTAATGAACAACATCATTTGTAACAAGGACGAGTCGAAGCTTCCTAGTTCCTGATTCCTTTTAGCGGAACAAAAGTCTTGTTGGCACGCAAGCTTCAGTTGCTGTGCTTTCCCAAAGAAGATAATATGTCAAGATACTCCGTTTATTGCCATATTTCAGCATCTACTGACGGTCTGGTGCGTCGTATACCTTCTTTGTTTTGATGAAAGCAACTTGAACACATAACCCTCTGTGTTAGTATTCATATATTGAGACCTGATTCAGTTTTTGGGTGAACTTTATAGGCTTAATACGTCTTATATATGCTCCTCACACGGTTAAAGAAGTGTGTCATGTACGCTGTGTGAAACAAGTGACTTCTATAGCACCGATATTATTTGTTTAACTTAAAGAAATGCAAAAGATTATTATATTATTATTATTCTGCTGCTCTGTACTAGGGATGCCAGAAACTGACTGAAATTAGAAAATCGGACAGCCCTGGCGAATATTAATCGATTATTCGACGCCGCCCTTCCTGCAGCGGTCAGACTTTACAACCAGCACTGCCCCTAGTAGACCCTCCTACACACACCACAACACAGACTATAACACCCCTTGCTGTTAAATACTAACCAACTTTGTGCAATATGTGCTATATATGCAATATATATATATGCCATTAATAACTGTGTAATTTATACCTGGCTGCTAAACCCTTGTTACTGTTACAAAGTATGTATCTTGTATTTTGTAGATTGTGTAACTTGCTGCTGTTAAATACCGTCAAACTATGTGCAATATATACTTTATATACATATGCCATCTTTAATAACTGTAATATATACCGGGCTGCTAAATCCTAAGAACTGCTACAGGATTTGATTTGTAGATTTGATTTGTTTTTGATCTGTATTTTTGAAAATTATAATGATAATAATAATAATAGATTTAATTTGTTAGTGCTTTTACAGGTGCTCAAAGACGCTTTACAGATAATAGTGAAGAAAAAAGAAAAGAAAAGAAAATTATGTAACTTTTTATCTTTTTTTAGCATATTATATATTTTATTATAACTTAGTACTTTTTTAACGCATGTAAGATATGCAACACTAAGCTCTCTGGCTCTTTCTGCTGTACGCTGCACATTTCCCCTCTGTGGGACTAATAAAGGTATTCTGATTCTGATACAACTTAAAGAAACCTGAGTGGTTTCCACATGGAGAGAAATAATGCGCACTGTGACACTGTGTGTTTATATCACGATAATATAGATGGAGCTTAATTTAGAAACAAATATAATATTTATTACAGAAATTGCTGAAAAACTTGACATTTAGCGATCACAAAAGTTAACAAAATATGACTTAATCTTTCTCTAAATGAATAACATCAGATCAGGGTTAGGGTCACAGCATCCAGTGAAATGAGGTGAATCCATACCAAACTACACCGACAAAATGACATTGATCATGAATTAACACACGGAGCAAAATATATCTATTTCCACACTAATTACTCTCCTCTTTGTTACCTTGATTTCTAGACAAAAACATTGTTTTTCTCGCAGGACTCTTGATTCTCTGTTTATGTAAGATGTGTTACAACATTCTGCACCCCTGTCTACCATAAAGGACATTAAATAGGATTAATTTGCATTGTTTACTTCCTTCTAAAGCTCTATCTTGGCACTAGGAGACACAAACAAACCCCCTCTGGACTGTGACACACTGCTCACATTGTGAATGACTTTCCAATGTGAGTTTCCATTTCCCAGAAACGGGAAAATCCACGTAAGCCTCCTGCGCTCTACATACTGCAATGTTACCCTGTGGGGGGGGAGGGGGGGCTTTTCACTCATTGCGTGTGATGAGAAGTTTGAGGATTGCGCCATCTTTGTACAGTCATGCAGAGATTCAATGACGATCGTTATGCATTAGATAACAGACACGTGGCATCCTAAACCTAAGGGTGAAAGAAGTACTCGAGGCTTATACTTAAGTAGCATTTTGATTACAGGACTTTTACTGAGTATATTAACACTGCGGTAGTACAAAATGATTGGCATCAAGATATACTTAAAATGCTAAAAGTACTAATTATGCAGATTGGCCCATTTCAGAATAATATATATCATATGTTTTGATTCTAATTATTGATTATTAAAGTGTTATCAAAGCTGGTAAAAGCGCAGCTAATTTGAATGACTTTGTATGCCGTATTAAATCACTTTAGTGGAGTAAGAGTACACGGTAGCAGGTAATGGAAATGCTCAAGTAAAGTACCTAAACATTTTTGCTTGAGTAAATGTACTTAGTTACTTTACACCACTGAATCTAATCTTAACAGGATTTACACTCTCCTAAGATACAGAGTCTGAATGCAAGTGGTAGGCTGGGGTTTATTTTGTTCCACTTCCTGTCTGCACCACTGTATCCTCACTCGTGGTTTGTGGTTTGGCGACTTTGACTGCAGTCGTTTGTCGAAGCGTAGTAATCAGCAGCGAACCGCTTCAACACGTGTATTTCGGTTTATTCGCGGCATTTATTTTGTTATTCTACAGTATTGTTGTTTTATAGTTATTTGTTTATGTATACAACCCAATTTGTGTTCTTTGAAAAGGATATTGCATTGTGTTTGTTACTTTCGTTGCAGTTGTATATGTCTTAAGTGTAAGTTGGCTTGGCTTCCTATTTTGTATGGACATGCTTTTATTTTGAAGGAAAAGTTAGCGCTCTTGACAGGAAGTTGTTGTTGCTATGGAAACAATGTGAGGGAGATTAACGGAGAAAAAGTAATATCTACATATAAAGACGGAGAAAGTAAACGATAACGTTTATGGTTAAGTGTTAGCACCCCCCGAAGAGGCACAAGCTCTTACGTTGATATTGGAGTTTTCAATAAATTCATTTTGGCAGCGGAAAAATACGAATATCCGAATAACGAAATTGAAACCCGAATAGTACTCCAACGAACGGATATTCAGGTACAGCCCTAGCACACACTAACACAAAATTGTAATAATAAAAATAACATAACAAAATATATTTGTATTTCATGCAATGCCTAGTTTGCATGCTGCTGTAAAGAAACGATTCATCAAGTTGAGGTCAATATCAAATGTATTAATGTCTCTCTGCCCCCCCCCCCCTCTCTCTCTTCAGACCCGGATGCAGAGCCTCCACCCGGAGCCCGGCGCTCGCTACCGGAACGTGATGGACGGGCTGCGGCAGATCGTGCGGACGGAGGGCGTGTGGCGGCCAATCAGAGGCGTGAACGTGCTGGCTGTGGGGGCGGGGCCTGCACACGCTCTCTACTTCGCCTGCTACGAGAAGATCAAGCTCTCGCTCAGCGACGCCATTCACCCCGGAGCCAACAGCCACTTCGCTAACGGTGAGTCAAAGTCAACTTTATTAGTCTTTCAGTTTGTGTGTACAGACGGAGAGATCAGGCGGCTACCAACAAAACTAAAATGTTCGTTCATGCTCAAATTTTGCATAACTTACCCCTAAAATGATTTGATTTTGATTTATTTCGAATGTGTAAAACAATAATACAAAAATGTAACGGTGTCAAATTAATATACAAAAATATTACTGATTCTAAATTATGTATAAACAGATAATCTACTTAATTACACACCTGAAAAAATGCAAGCAACTACTTTTATGGGACTTGCTTAAAGAAATACTTATACACCTACAATGTTATTTTTCATATTTGTATCGGTTACGTACTCAGTTTTACCTTGAATATTGAAAAATCGTTATTTTTCTCCTATGGTGAAGGGAGGATCCAAAAACAGAAAAAGTCTTGATCAATTTGAAGGGAATCGCGGTTGCGTTCAACAACAAAACTACATTAAAATAATCACTTTATTGGCGACGACCCAAAGCTAATTTGGTAGAGATAACGGCCCATATACTGGGGCTCAGACCCCGCACCATTTGCACCCCTCTGTTTATAAATGAATTATATATTTGTTTCAAGTTTCTTTCAGGCCAACAGTGCCTCTATTGAGGAGACAATCTGTTTGTTCAGTAAAATACAAGTGTCATTTATCCGTTTGTAGGCTCACTACTTGCCACGCATCGACACTAAAAACCCTCACTATAGGGAAATGGGAAGTTTTGAAACGACTGGATAAATGAGACTACGATTGTACTTCACAAATTATATTATGTTTCTTAAATGGATGTTTTGCTGATGTGCTCGTCTTCCCTCAGTTTTTAAAATGTTAAACGTGTTAGAAAAGCATACATTTATACACAAAATGAAAATCTGAATGTCATTTCGGTGACGATGGAGGAGTTTTTTCAGGCTCTAACTTCCTCTCCACTGTTTCTCTGTAGGAGCGGCGGGCTGCATGGCGACCGTGCTGCACGACGCCATCATGAACCCAGCAGAAGGTAACAACACTGCTCTATGTTCTGCACCGTGAATTGTCATTTTTTAAAATTTTATTCAGACATAACATACACCCGCATACATACTCAAATGTGTGCAGAGTAGTTACTGCACATATAACATCCATCTCTCCATGGGTGACACTAATCTCACCTTAATCATGTAGCAAGATATCTGTGTATATCTCAGCTTACATACCAACTACTTAAATAGAAGCACAGAGAGAAAATGTATAAGAATAATCAATTGTAATCATTATGGGGTGTGAGAAACATCAAAGACATCCTGCTGGAGTTCTTCAAGTGACATTCATAACCTTAGTCTACAAAGACACTTATAGAATCATTCTCTGAGGGTGTTGTTGCACCATCTGGACACTAGGGGGAGCTACAGACTCACCTGTGGCTCCACATGTTACTGCAACACATCCATCAAAGAAACTTATGATGCATTGTTTTAACAAAATAACATTTGCCCTCTCCCTGTTCTCCCCTATTATAACTAGTTGATTTCATTTCAAATTGCTGCTAAGGTTTCTAATTCTCTCGTCTCCCTGCAGTTGTGAAGCAGCGAATGCAGATGTTTAACTCTCCGTATCGAGGCGTTCTTCACTGCATGGGCTCCCTGTGGAGACACGACGGCCCGGCGGCTTTCTACCGCAGCTACACCACGCAGCTCACCATGAACGTGCCCTTCCAGGCGCTTCACTTCATGACGTACGAGTATCTGCAGGAGCTCCTGAACCCCCACAGACAGTACAACCCTTCCTCTCACGTGGTGTCCGGAGCTCTCGCTGGAGCCATCGCTGCCGCCGTCACCACACCTCTGGACGTCTGTAAAACCCTCCTCAACACGCAGGAAGCTCAGGCTATCCACGTGATCGAGGCGGAGGCAGCGACAGCAGCTGTGGGAGCGGTGGGAACGGCCGCCGGGAGTCGACATATCTCCGGTTTGACCGAGGCGTGTCGGACTGTGTACAGGATGGGAGGCGTGCCGGCGTTTTTCAAAGGCGTCCAAGCGAGGATTATCTATCAGATGCCGTCCACCGCCATCAGCTGGTCCGTCTACGAGTTCTTCAAATACATCATCACCAAGCGGCAGCACGAGAGACGGCTGCGGGGAGACGGAGATAAATAAACAAACATCGGGAGCAGCAGAGGGTCATGGCACTGTACCGATAAGGTTTAAACTTTGACTTTTAAAAAGCTCCAGAGTTTTAGATTCGTCGAGCTCACTCCTAATTTGTTTTCTGAGATCTGTTCAGCGTGTTCAGAAGCAAAGAAGCAGCTGGAATACTTCATTATTAGTGTGTGAAATGTCCTTAAAACACCCATTGGTTTAAAAGGGGTCTCCGAGTGGCACACAGGAAGTCCTGGGTTTCACTGAACAAGCCCCATTCACTTCTGATGCTTTAACAACTTCACAAAGTCATTATGTATTGGCTTTCAAAAAGCTTATTATTCCCTTAAGGTAACGCACCGTAATAGAAAAGCTTTGTTAGGACATGTTTGAGTGCAGTTTTGATTCGTCCCTGAACTCAAGTGCATTGGATTTGATCAAAACAAGGTTAGGGTACTGATTTGAGCTTTGATTGGAAAGTGTTAACACTCACTTCAAATGTATTGTGTAGAAATGAGAGCATTTTTACAACAAAAGCGCTATATATCCTACACTGTATGAGAGGTCAGCATTTTAAACGCACAGTTACTAAGAGTGTTTTTAGGTTCAGAGACGAAACAAAAGTTCTTCATAAACGCTCTGTACTGCACACCTCTTGAAAGTGTGACACCATATTACCTTCTGACCACAAGGGGGCGCCCAACACCAGCGTCATACAACTGAGAGGAAACAGGAAGTAAGTGTGCTGGTGTACAGAAACCAGGAGCTAAAACGTGTGTGTGTGTGTGTGTGTGTGTGTGTGTGTGTGTGTGTGTGTGTGTGTGTGTGTGTGTGTGTGTGTGTGTGTGTGTGTGTGTGTGTGTGTGTGTGTGTGGCGACTCGGACCATTTCACCTCAACTGTCATAACATTTTAAGGTGTGTTTTAAAAACGTGATTCTTAAGGTTTCTTTGAATGAACACATGACATATTTACAGCTTCGTGGTGTCTCATCTGTGTCTTTACACCGGGTGCTTTCAAATCCACACACACATGTTTCTGCTGCAGATTGTATATGCTGCACACACACAGACACAGACACACACACACGCTCATGCTGGTACAAGTTTAAATTAGATTTTTGTTCTAAAACAACATACCAGTTTTATGGAAAGTGCTGCATCCTAAAGTGTCCGTGCTTCTTTCTAATGAAAATCCCTTGCTTTAGGAAATGTAAAAACTCAACAAACTTGAAGTTTCACGCAGGAAAGTGTTTGTCAACTCACTAAAATAACTGAAAAGTTGAATTTAATCACATTTATTTATTGTATTAGGGTTGGTTGAAAGCATTAATGTGTTCATTTAAAAGTAATATTATTGCTTCCAACTCACCTAATATATAATATATATATTAATGGCAAAATAAATGTAATTAAACGCTTTGGAAGAAGATCATTTTAGTTTGATTCTATATTTTTTAAACGCACAGCATCCTAGCAATTAATATTATGGTCTTTATGATTGGTAAGGACAACGAGAAGTTCTAAAATAGAGAATAAAGTAACATGACTTGTACACATGCCTTCAGTTAGCCGCCGTACATCAACGCACAACTAATACAAAGATATCCTCAGATAGAGATGTGATATTGGGTTTTTAAGCCATAAAAGAGGATGAAATTGTACATAATATATAGCGTGTATATATATATATATAAAAGTATATATAAATACAGATAAACACATACTAAGTTTTAAATGCTGAAAAATACAAAACTAAAAGGTTGTAGCTAAAACATTCTGGGAGGAAGCGACAGGAAGGATGCTCCCCTAAGGTGCAACAAAGGAAACCTGGTTACTTTGAGGACGCAGAAAAGTAATAAGTATTAAAAGAAGATTGTGCTGTTGCTCGTGTGAAGTGTCCTGACAGGGGAACCACAGACTGAGAGCAACTCTGTCAGGTGACGACTAATGTGAAACGCTGGAACTTGTTAAAGATGACTCCTGTATTTTGTGAACTGTAAATAAAGTCGCTCCGGCAGCTCCTCGCAGAAGCAGGGTCTTCTCTTGGTGCTGGTCTCCAAGCGTGAAGAATCAACTCGTGTCTGTCCTCTTTCTGTCTCGTCCTTTTCACATTGTGGTATTGATTTGACCATTTTACAGATTCTAGATTTGCCTGAGGAACATTTTGAATGCAGCACTTTTATTTGTAACAGATGTAACTGGTACTTCTACTTTTACTCAAGTACAAGTTCTGTGTACTTCTACTTTTACTCAAGTACAAGATCTGAGTACTTCTACTTTTACTCAAGTACAAGATCTGAGTACTTCTACTTTTACTCAAGTACAAGTTCTGAGTACTTCTACTTTTACTCAAGTACAAGATCTGAGTACTTCTACTTTTACTCAAGTACAAGATCTGAGTACTTCTACTTTTACTCAAGTACAAGATCTGAGTACTTCTACTTTTACTCAAGTACAAGATCTGAGTACTTCTACTTTTACTCAAGTACAAGATCTGAGTACTTCTACTTTTACTCAAGTACAAGTTCTGTGTACTTCTACTTTTACTCAAGTACAAGATCTGAGTACTTCTACTTTTACTCAAGTACAAGATCTGAGTACTTCTACTTTTACTCAAGTACAAGATCTGAGTACTTCTACTTTTACTCAAGTACAAGATTCTGTGTACTTCTACTTTTACTCAAGTACAAGTTCTGTGTACTTTTACTCAAGTACAAGATCTGAGTACTTCTACTTTTACTCAAGTACAAGATCTGAGTACTTCTACTTTTACTCAAGAACAAGATCTGAGTACTTCTACTTTTACTCAGGTACAAGATCTGAGTACTTCTACTTTTACTCAAGTACAAGATCTGAGTACTTCTACTTTTACTCCCACCTCTGCTTTAAAGCATTGTTTTATTTTTCACAAAGTAATCTTACTACTTTCATCAGAAAATCTGAATTCCTTTGTCCCGCAACGGGAAATGTGGATCTCAATAAATATTTTCCAGAACAGAATCCACGAAGACGTGACGGATGTATTTGCAGAACGATCGCCCAGTGGTGACACAGCAACAGAAGCTTTGGTTGAAGTAGGAAATGATTATTATGCGTCCTCTCGGCCTTCCGTATATAAACTACCTGTTGCAGTTTTCTGCTGAAATAAATCTCTCAGCTTCCTGGTCGAAAGCTGACAGGCAGATCTCCTCGGCTGCAGATCCGGTTTCACTGCGTGTTGTCATTCCCCGCGGCCTACAAGTTAAAATGTTGTCTTTCATCTCGTCTCTCGTCTTAACTTCAACCCCCCTCTCTTCTCTGCTGCCTCTTTCCTCCCCACTGTTGTTCCCTTTCAGCGTCTGAAACGTAAGGCGATCCATTAAGTCGGACAGGAAGGTTTCGACATGTGAGGTCAGGCAGCAGGTCTGCTCAGAGCCAAGGTCAACACCAGGCGTGTGTGTGGAGGGAAAACAAAGACAGATGAGGTGAAGGAAACCCGACTCGCCTTCTGAACATCCCTAACAATCACCCAGAGAATAGATATATATGTTAACGTGTAGATAGAAAATACCTAAACGCCTGAAGTGAGCTAGCATTTTAGCACTTCTTGTTCCCTCTTCTCAATCTGTTTTGGTTTGATGCCTGAAATAAGGTCTGTGGTTAACACAAGCTTGCAAGATTTTCAAGTTAATTTTTATAACTTAAAATACGCCAGTAAATAGCCCACGGGTAAATATATCAAGGTTTTACACGTCCTAGTGATTACATATTTGTGTTGGCTTACATGAAGTTAGCAACGAAAGGCCTCACTTGACAAAAGCCATTGGAGGAAAAAGGATCTGATACACGTTTTGTTCAGTATGATAATCTTCTAAAGGCGGCTAATGTTGGGCTACATTAGGAACTAGCACGGTCACATGACTGCACGTGTTTTGTTCAAAATTCAAAACTATTTATTAAAAGAGAGCAAAAGATATTTATTCACTTGCCCAAGGACTCTGTCGCATCATAGAAACTACAGGCAGTAAAGCTGTACCACTTTAACGACCCGTCCACACTATAGCTTCAAAAAAAGCTTGGAGCTGGGCGTGTCTGAAGTTTAGGGATTTTATTCGAGCACCGCGACCAACAACCAATCACATGAATGTCCCGCCCCCGGCATACAAAGCAAAAAACCCCGGGGATTTTATGAAACAGGCGAAAACCTACCAGTTTCACCCACTGTCTCTGCCACCTCCCTCCATGCCTGGTTCCTCCGGTTTGTATCCCGGTAAATAGTTCTGGTCCTAAAGAACCGGGTGATTTGCTACTGTAATTTCTCGTTTAGAATATGAAGAAATTAACTGCGGTCTGGCTCTCCCAGCTTGCACGCGGTTTGATTGGCTAGCGCTTGAACTGTCAGATTTGCATAAACGGGATTTGATTGGCTGACGCTGGCTACTCCGGCGTGTCCGGCTGCAGAAGACTTCTGCAGCTGGAGACGGTGGAGACGGACCGCTATGCTACCCACAATTCAGTTCGGCGAAAAGCGAGGCAACGTGACGTCACTCCATTCAAAGTGAATGGGCAGACGCGTTGGAAACCGTTTTTGAAGCTGTCGAAGCTGTAGTGTGGACCGGCCGTAACCACTATTTCCGGAAAGAGCCTCAAACCTCGTGCGACAATACATTTTCATTAGCCTACACAGGGCGTTGCCTGTACATTTATCATTAGTCAAGACTAGATGAAGAGATACCGTGGTTTAGACTTGGTTCTCTTTGGTAGGTGCACAGACTCAGACAGAGTCTCTTGGCAACACGATCCTCCCAGCATTCGGCCGGCTGGCGAAGTCCCTCCCTACTCTGTCTCTATTCTAGTCATTTGTTTTCGCTAACGTTTCTACAGATATAGTGGGAAACGTTCATAATGCTGCTTCCTAGCTATGCGTGGGTGGGAAGCTCACCCACGGCCAAGGTCAGAGTCTCAGTAACTCACTTCACTACTTACAGCGTCTGCACCTGGCTCTGCTACATTAGTATTGCAAGCTGAAAACTTCCTTCTGTGACTTTTCCCTTCGTTTTCTATCCAATCCATCAAACCTTGGGAGTGGTGATTTTGTCTATTTATTCCAAAGTCATAGCAACATGAAATGAGCACAATAAGCAAATGATGTAATGATAAGAATCAGTCTTTTTAATGTTATATAAAAATAGACTCCACACACGTCACCACCGCTAAGCTAAAGGTTGCTAATGTTGGGCTTTAAAGGAACTACAGCACGGTCACATGACTCCACGTCACCACCGCTAAGCTAAAGGCGGCTAATGTTGCGCGTGATCATGTGATGACGTTTAGTCGTCTCATTTAGACATGTTAGCAGTGTATTTTATGTCTTAGAATAAAACGTTAACATCTCTTCAGCTTGTGTTAACCACAGAGCTTATTTCAGGATAACAACCAAACACATTCAAAAAGTCTTGACTGAGACAAGGGAACAGGAAGTGCTAAAATGCTAACTAATGACCAGCTTTAGGGCTCATTCCTCCTACAGCACTTTAAGAGACTACTAAACGTCATCATGCCTAACATTAGCCGCCTTTAGCTTAGCGTTTTTTACGTGAAGTCATGTGACCGTGCTGTAGTTCCTTTAAAGCCCAACATTAGCTATTTACTTCAGGAGATTGCATTTAAGCTTCAAATATTTTGAAACTGGTGTTAGTATGCGGAGAGCAAAACGTGCAAGTATCATAAACTAAACGTTTGTTTGCCACAGAGATTATTGAATTACCCAAATTCTAGTGATTTTACGTATTGCGCCGAGGCTTCGGAGCGTGTGTCGAGTAATCCCCGAAGCTTTTTGTGAAGCATGTATCGAGGCTTGTCTCGTTTTGGGCCAGTGACGTCATCGATGACAAACGAAGCCTCGCTGCCACTGCTTCAGGAAGCGATTCATATCGGTTGAACCACAACGCTCATAATACCCATGGTGACATAATAAGAACCATATTACCCCTCCTGTACCCGGACCCGCTGGTGACACAATGGAATTAAAATGTATGGTTTAGCCTTTCTCAGGCTGCAACATGGTTAAGTTTATGAATATTACTAAGGAATACAAATACCTCTTTGCAATGTTTACCAGCCTCCTTAGGCTTTTCAATCACAATCAACTGGAATAAAAACAATATTGTTAACATGAACATATGATTTTATGTTCGTTGTTTAGAGTTATTCTAAGGCTTTACTCATTGGGATCTCTGTATGAGATAGAGGCTAGAGCACACTGTTGAGATGTCCAATCTGCCTGTTGTACACACTTTGACCAATAGGGGGTTTGTGTTCAAATGAAGCCCATGATGACGCCTCATGAGATGAACCCTTTTGCGAACCATTTGGCTGGAAAGCTTCGAAGCTTCATAAGGCTTCATCTCGCCATCACTACCAAATTCCAATGGAAAAATCCCATCTGCTTAATTAGTCAAGGGAACCTGAGCTGCTAACTTCCGAGTTGGCCTACAAAAATACGTCATCCCTGCACCACTCCTTTCCACGTGGGATCATATCAGTACTCTGATTCTGTTTAGAAGAACCAACCCTCCCTGCCATCCTCGTTGTTTGATTAATGGTTCCTCTTTGGTGTGAAAACGCTGGATGTGTTTTTAATCTCTCAATCTGTGACGTGCCGCCTACAGGAAACAAAAATATAGAACGATACGCACGAGATATAAATGTGAGGATTAGAAAAAAACATCATTAATCATAATTCAGATTTGCAGTGCCCGCTGCATTATGAAGTGCGATGTTTTACAGTTTGACCACTCCAGAGGAACACACCCTGAAACCCACTGAACATGATGAATGGGTTTTTCCTTCATAGACACTGCCACTTAAAATAGAAAACAATGTAAACATGCCTTTTTTTTGCATCTTTTATTACATAAGTGAGTAAACACTTGTCAGGCCCATCTTATGCTCTAACTTATTATTTACAAAATTTAGTTTTTCTTAGTTTCTCTCCATTATTATTGACTTTTAGCGTCACTAAAAGTCTGCTGCCGCTAATCAGTGAGTCGGTGGTCCACTGCAAAATATCCCACCAATTACGAGAGTAGATGT